CCATTATGTTGTTAAAACATTAAGTTATATTATTTTTGATCGTATGCTTGTTTTATTTTATATAATAAATTATATATATTTTATATAATAAATATGAATTATAAAAGCTGGATGCCAGCCAGCTGAAAGCTGGACGCTAGCCAGCTGAAAGCTGAAAGTTGGACGCCAGCCAGCTGAAAATTAGAAGCTTGGCGTTTCAAATTTTACGGGACAATTTTTTTGTTAGCAATTTATTTCTGTCAAATTAATGACCGAATACGTTTTCATACGTATTGATTCAATAATTTTTATTAATATTATATAAAACATTTTTCAGTTCAGTTATACGCGCTTTACGATTGTCGTTAAAATTTTATAGGCCTCTAATTGTATATATAATTGTCAATTTTAAATTTTATAATATATTATTAAATTATATTATGCGCTAAATAGGTGAAATCATATTTGATAATATTTAAGCGATAATATAAAATTCATTCACACATATACATAATAATGTCGTACGATAAACATGTTAGTATATCTAGTTTATATTTTTTTAATTTTGTGTTATATTATCAAGATATTTAATGCATTTCATGCACAACGCGCTTGCCCTTTTTTATTCACTTTGACTTTTCTGTAAAATTGCAGTATAAACATAAATTTCACAAATATGTGATTCAGGAAACAAACGAGAATAAAAAGACAATTGAGCTAGTACGCTGTTAGTCGTGTCAATTATTTACTTTTAATAATCTTAGTTAAAATCTATAAATATCCATACGTATGTTCCAGTCGTAATTTTTCGACCTTTTTCAATAGTAAAATATAAAAATTATAATTCGTGACATTTGTATGATAGTTCATTCGGGAATCGCGGAGATAACATATTTTATAATTGTATCGTGCATATATGTAAGTTTGTGTTAATCGGAACTTGTCTATGTAGAGTCCTTATTTGTAATAATGAAGGATTTATAAAATATTCCGTCAGCGAATCCGATCAACGAAAGTTAAGTGTTTTCATGACTAGATAAACGTTACTCACCAACGGTAAACGCCGAAGCCCCGCTATTTGCAAGTATTATGTGTGAAAAGTCAAAACCCTACAGCGCCCAATGGCCTTGATAACAAACGTGATTTACCTGTAGGTTAAACAAAAATAAGGAGCAACGCAGATTCGCCAAGAAAAATAACTTCAACAAAGTAATCGTTCACCAACCGAGACACAGACAATCACAATGAAATCGAACACGTGGTTCAATAATAAACAATAACCATTATTCGCGTGCGATAAGAAATATAATAAATATTGACTATTGTTGGCGTGCATCCACGTTCAAAAATCAAGGACGAGTGACGAGTATCAAGCGGCAGAAAGACTTAAAGTATATCTCGAAAACTCTGTTTGTAAACAGGATGGTACATTATAATCTATCGAGTATTTTGATGATGGATAGATAATTCAGAAAATATACATTTGAAATTTCTGTACAAATAGCGCACCCCACACGCATTTATTACGTTGTTACATATGTGATTGATCTGTGCTCACATGTTTATTTTGTGTAAAGGACTGGTCTCACGATGCTCGATTATGTTAATAATTTTCTATACGCTAACTTTTATGAAGTTGCATATGGAACATTACATGACAACGTTCATGATTTTGAATTCATAGTGTTATTGTTTTTGTCGAAATCATGAAGGTTGCCATGCAGAGCTCCGTGCACAACTTCATAAGTTAGCATATAGAAAATCATTAACACAGCTCGAGCATCGTGAGACTAAGCCTTAATGTGTTGTATATCATATCATTACGATTAATTGTAGCATAAGAAAATATGCACAAGCAGTCGTGAAGCATAGTGCAATTGCAGAGAAATATCACAGCGTACCTACCTACAGTATTTATCTAATTGGGCAGCGCGGCATATATCATGAAGTTTTCTCATTGCGTTTTGTCCAAAATATTAAATACCATCTTCTAATATTATATATGGACGGATTTGGTATTTAATGCTCTACAATTTTTGTCCTTACAAAAACTTAAAAATTTTGCTAGAGTAACTAGTAAGGGGGGAGAGTAGTTCAACATTTGAAATTTTAAAAAATTGAACACATGATTGTAAAGAGATTTGCATAAAATATTGCAAAACTTTTGTCTGAAACTTTTTTTCATATGACTCATAATTTAGAAAATATTTGCTAAAAACGATAACGGCTATTTTTTTTCAAGGGGTGGTTTCACCCCCCAAACATGTTCCGAAGCCGATATAAAAAAATACGTGTTCCTTAGTTTTTGATGCTCTACAACATATCCGAAGCTCATTCAAATCGGTGAGGGACAGTTGTGTCACTCTCTTTGTAGCAAGTAGCAAGGATAGAAACTAGTGACTCTAATTTCGCCCTTGTCGTGGAGGCTGACTTGAAACCGGTTCAAATCGATGCTAAAGAGTTTGTAGAAATATGTAGTGAAAGAATTTTCGTTTGTAGTTGCTTAGAAAAAAAGTTGCACACCCTTAACTTCTAAGGGTAGCTATTTTTGCCCTGTCGGGGGCGCTAATTTCGCCCTTGTCGTGGGGGCTAACTTGAAACCAGTTCAAATCGATGCTAAAGGGTTTGTAGAAATATATAATGAAAGAATTTTCGTTTGCTCAGGAAAAAAGTTACAATCCCTCTAAGTAACAAGGGTAGAAACTAGTGACTCTAATTTCGCCCTTTGTCGTGCAACTACAAACGAAAATTCTTTCACTATATATTTTTACAAACCCCTTAGCATCGATTTGAACCGGTTTCAAGTCAGCCCCCACGACGGGGCAAAAATAGCTACCCTTAGAACTTAAGGGTGTGCAACTTTTTTCTGAGCAATTACAAACGAAAATTCTTTCACTACATATTTCTACAAACGATTTGGCTTCTATTAGGCTTGGTTTGAACTCAGTCCTCCAATTTTGCGGGCGACCCTTTCCCCCCCTTGTAACTTTTTTATTTTTTTACTAAAAACGAAAATTCTTTCACTACATATTTCTACAAACAATTTGGCACATGTTTAGTGCAAGAAAAAAATTTTTTTTTAAATTCGCGGGCTAACTTCACAAAGCTAAGCAAACTGACGGAGTGATTTCCCGTGCACGATTTCATTTTTGCGATCATTTTGCAGCGGTTTTATTACGTTTTGAGAGAGCATACGCTAGGAAGTAAAAGAGGGAGAAGGATGTAAAAAATCGGTCTCGAGTAGCGTGCCGCGGAAATTCGCCAATAATACGCGTATTCATTCGCGCGAGCGTGGCCCAAACGCGGAAAAATATTATTGCGAGAATACGTCGTCGCGACGAAGGAGCTTGCAGTTGCCTCGCCTACTACTCTCTCTACTACTACCTCCTCCTCCTTCTCCTCCATTTTCCTCGCGAGTTTCATTCAAATTCGCGGAGCCGTGTTGCCTCAGCAAACTCTTAGGTCGCCACTTCGTTCTCGCGTGGACGCGGAATGAATCGGCGGAATCAACAAAGTGTACAGCATTATGCACTACCGTGCATAGCGTGCACCGCCTCGCTCGCGCAATTCCTTTCGCTCGCTCTCGCGAAAAAAAACCTCCATCTCCCTGCCGCGACTAATCGCTTCATTTTACCACGCGACATTCGTCGAGCAACTTCCGACGACGACGACGACGAACTAAGCAGTTGCACGAACAGCTCGAACATCTAATCCGATAAACTATCGAAACTTCCACCAACTGTAATCGTCTGAGCATATTAGTCGATCGATACCGTAGTGGATCTTTTTAATTGTCTTTATAATATGTCTGGCACAACATGCTCGGGGACAAACTAATTAATTCTCCTTCGAAGGCAAACTTGCGAGTTTGCTTTTTGCACGTCACAAAAAGCGCTACCTGCGAAACTCGTATTTTATTCCCAAAGAGAATATTCCCAAGAGAAATTTTTGTCATACTCACGCACTATAATAATGACGATCTTTCATCCGCGAACCATCTTATAAATTCGAAACCGATTTTTCTTTAATGATAATACAAGGGCTCGATGTACATTGCACGACAGTTTAATTAGCACCATCGTCGGCGTTGTCAGAATTATGCAAAAAAGCCACTATCGTTTTTTTTTTTTCGGAATAACTACTACACGTACGTGATATGCACCGATGACGACGTTCTTCTGCGCTCTCGAGAGTTGCATGCAGCAGCAAACGAAAATAGCACGTGAAAATGCGACGTCGATCGACGAAAGCGTGGTTCGTGGTTCAATGAAGAGACACGGATGACCGTAGACAAAGCGACGCGCTCGTTCCGAGTCGCGAGAGAAAGCGACCAACTTCATTTTAATAAGTACGTGACACAATTTCCATTCACTTGAGCGGTAAAATGGTACGCGGATATAAAAGAAGGTAAAAAAGAATCAGAACCTAGACTCTGTAATTTTTATTTCACCGTAGTGAATCTCTTCAGGACGCGAGAGAGCACGATCGCGAGGGAACCTCTTCGGTCGAAACAACTCGAATCGAAAATTCGAAACAAACTCGATTCAGACTCGTACGCGGCGAATTAATCGTCCCAATTCTTTCCGCAAAATGTTCGTATTCTGCTAAATTCCCGCTCGCATGGAACGAGTCGAAAATTCAGCCAAGCCGACCCAAGCCATTATCGATCCTACTCGACCAACCAAATGGTCTTGATTTCCCTCCGACTTGACTCGCCTCGCAATTTGCGAGACGACAAAATTCGCGCGAAAACCCTTGGAGGAGCCTCGCTTCCTCCTGCTCGGCTCTTTTCTTCTCCAATATGCCATCTCGCAGCGTCCTGAGTACGACCGGATTCGCTCATGGCCCCGCGTTATTTATCCGCGAGGACGAACTCGTTCGTTATGTCCGAAGGTTGAGAGAGAGAGAGAGAGAGAGAGAGAGAGAGAGAGAGAGAGAGAGAGAGAGAGAGAGAGAGAGAGAGAGAGAGAGAGAGAGAGAGAGAGAGAGAGAGAGAGAGAGAGTATCGCGTGGACGTCGCAGGCCGCCGTCGTCATCATCGTGCTGGTGAATCGGCGAGAAGGTCGGTACAGTCGCCTCGAGCCGCCTCGAGGAGGATTCCTCCGCGAAGAGAAAGAAACCGGCTGCCTCCTCCTCGCTCCATGGCCGGACAGAGGAGAGAGACTGGAACGAAGCTGGATTGGAGCTGAGTGTGCTGGTCGCGCCGAGGCTAATACCTAGCCGCGAACGAGCCTTTCCTCAGTCTTTCACGTCCCGAGCGAGCGGCCACATTGTCCAACAGACGCTCGCACGCACGTTCCTCGACAACCGGCGTGAGTTTCGTCCGCGCGTCGCGCCCCACATCGTGCATTTTCCGCGCCGCGCTGCGCCGCGCCGCGCCGCGCCGCGACACGAGGGACCAGTGAGATCGACCATGTGTGCCACGACGCGATCCCGATAGCCGCGAGATCCTGGTGCGTCAGAGGAGTGTGCAGGTCTCGGCTCAGCTCTGGTGTTGCTGGAGCCGCTGAGAGGAGGACGCTAGAAGAAGCGGAGGAGCGCGCGCGCGCCGCAGGAGAAGAGGGATATAATATGAGGTTCCTCTGCGTGGCGATTGCCATCGCGAGTGCAGCGTTTCTCTCGACAATCGTCGGTGAGTCGCGTACGCACGCACGTACGTACGTGTGTACGCACGCACGCGCGCACGCTGTCACGGCCGAGGGACGGGCGGTATGAGAGCGGCGCCACGTAACCGTGAAAGTTGTTGCAAAAAAGCGCGCCTGTTTTATCAATGAAGATCGCGGGTGTACCTTCGCTAATTATTTTCTCTCGCAATCGTCACGGCCGCTTCGTTCCGAGCAATCGCGCCATCTCGTCCCGGTCTGATTAGTCGCGGTCGCAAGTTCAATTCATCGCAATTTCAGCAATACGCACGCGTAGCCAACGTGACCCCCGGCCGGTTGTGGGTCTCTCTCGATTGACCTCTCACGACGACCTCCGCTTCGGCACGCTGATCGCGCACGTTCAAGTCCGCACGTTTGCATGCGGAATCGCGAATTGTCGCGGCGTTTCTCCCGCGGAGCGTCCGCCGGCGACGAAACAAGCTCGCCGAGGCCGCCGGCCGCCCTCTCCACCCCTCGCCGGTCTCCTCCTCTAATTAAATGGAAACTGTTGATCGCACCCTCGGAGCACGATCCGCGGACGCGTCTTCGTTCACAACCAACTCAATATTCCCCAGCTCGGCAGAGCAAACCGCACCGATATCTGTTCGTCTACTCATTTGACCCCAACCTCTCCCTCCGTCCCCTGTCTGACTTCCCTTCGCGCTGTTTGCGCAGCATAATTAACGCAGCATCGCGAAGACGCTAAAGGAACTTCTGCCCACGGTTGATTTATCAGGTTAAACAAGACCGCTCGCGCGAGCGTAGCACGACGCTCTCGATTCGGCGGTGACTTGCGATTTGCTCGATTTGCAGGGAGCGAAGCGTCGGGGCTTGAGGCACCCCGAAGGGTGGCGCGAGTAAACAGCGGTGGTAAAAATGAGAGATACTCCATCGATTATTAGAGCTCTCTCGCCGCAGCGGCCGCGATCTCTTTTATTTCCGTCGTTCGCGCGACGCAAACGTGGGCGTCGGCGGGGTCTCTCCCTTCTTCCCGCCCCGCCGAGATCTATTTATTAATCTACGCGTTTCCCCCGTCCGTGCGCCATCTTCGATACGCGGATATGATAGGGACAATAAAATGTATCGCGCGCTAAAAAGCAACAATCGCTTGCACGCAAAAAATCGGCTGCTTGGAGCGGAAAAGGCGATGCGTGATTTTACGCTCGGCTGTCGTTGCGGCTGTCGCTGCTGCTGCGCCTTCATCCCCTCTCCCTCCCCCCTCTCTCTCTTTCTCTCTCTCTCTCTCTCTCTCCTCGTCTTACTCTCCCTTTCCCATCCATCTTTTATTTTTATCATCCATTGGGCACGACATCGATCGAGCGAACGAGGACGACACAAAAGAACAGTAAAAGGAGAAAAGGGAAGAGTCGCACCAGAGACTAAGACCGGAACGGTCCAACGGTGCGGCCGTCAGGGGCGAGAGAAAGAGGGGAATGGAAGTAACACGGCGGGCTTTTTCTGAAAACAAACCGTTGTCGGACATCATCTCAATTACCGTTCGAACATCCCTCACCAAAGGCGGATCCGAAGCATTTTGCCCTCTCTCGTTCTTTCGTTCTCCCCACTCTCACCTCTCTCTCCCTCTCTCTCCCCCCCCTCTCTCTCTCTCTCTCTCTCTCTCTCTCTCTCTGTCTCCATTTCGCGAGCGCGTCTCGTGCGAGCTGCTGCGCTCGTTGCGAGAGCTCCGCAAGGACGATGGGAGCTGACGAATCTTGACAAAACTGCAACGAACGAGACGGGCAAGCCGTCTAGAACCCCCTCATCTTTCAAAGTGGCCACTCGCTAATTGCGTTAATTTCACTTGAATTCACGCGTTTATCGAGAATCTCCGAGCGAGAGGTCGTCCAAGGCATCTCGTCGCAATGACGGAGATCATCCCAGTCGGAGACGAGCTGGAGCGAGTTACGACGTCGCGTTACCAGAAACCTCGTCGCCGACGCGGTATCCTTTCGCGGCGCATCCACGTTATTGCCATTTATAGGTTTCGATAGAAAGTGTGGACAAGCTAGACACGTGCCTGACTCGTCTCAGCGTGAGACAGAAGCAGCGTCCGCGAGAGGAAAGGAGAGCCAGGGAGAGGAGAGAGGAGAGAGAGAGAGAGAGAGAGAGAGAGAGAGAGAGAGAGAGAGAGAGAGAGAGAGAGAGAGAGAGAGAGAGAGAGAAAAGCAAAAAGGACGGAGGAAAGAAGCGGGATCCTCCGTAATCGATTCGAAAGGCGTTCCTCGAGGGCGATCTAGATGGAGAAACACTGCTTTCAAGGATCTCTCAATCTTTCAACCTCGATCTCTTTAGGATGATTGAGTGAATTCATCGCGGCGTGGCGCGCGGTTCGCGGCTCGCGCGGTCAACAGGATAATAATTAATCAAACCGCGCGCGCGCGGAGGAGGAAGGAGGAGCAGGGCGTGCGAAGGGCTTTTCGAGCGTCATCGACTTCCATCGATTAACATCTATAAATTTCTCTCGGGGTCACGCGGGGGCGCGTCCTATCGCGCGTACGCTCGCTCGCTCGCTCGCCCGACCGGTCGCGCGCGCTATCGTTATAAAGTACAACTTTTGAACGGTGCCGGTCGAATAAATTGGCGCGAGCTCTAAATCACGGCGAGCGAGCGAGCGAGCTAGCGAGCATACCGTAAAACCGTAAGCGTTAAAAGCACGCGCGCACGTAACGTAATACGACCGGTGAATTCCTCCCTCGCGGCAGTGTACCGTACAGATTTTCCCTGCCTAGGAGCGTTTGTTTGTCGCCGGGGCGCTGCGCGAAACCGGCTTTTGGAATATATCAAGAACGTGCGGCGAGTTGCCCATTTGTCTGGTTCGCGCGTCGTTTTGTTTATCTCGCCCGATAACGAATCGCGCGCGTTTCCGCGAGCGGATGGGATTAACTCCTCGCGGGGAATAATATTCCGGCCGGCAAACCCGGAAGAAGCCAGTTGTGTATGCGACCACCTCCGCGCACGCGCACGCGCACGCGCGCCATTATCCGGTTCGCGTGATTCCCTTTTGCACTTTTTGCGATAATAACGCTGACGTCGTGCACACCAGGTCACTCTGGTGGTCCGACGCCGGAAGCTCGGCGAAGCCCGGATCAGCGATAATCCGCGGCTTTGCCACGAGCTCTCCTGGCTGCTGCGAAAAAGAAAATTCGCTCGGCGAATTCGAGGGATGATTCATCGTCGAGCGAGTAAGGAGAACGCTCGAGCGTTCCGCTGAAGTACTACAATGTAATCGGTTTTGCGCGATTTCTAGAGCAATTCACGAGGCTCGCGAGTTCTCCCCTCGGTCATCCCACACGAGTCGCCCGTTGCGGCTCCCTCCCGAGGGATGGAGAGGGGACGATCGATCCGAATTACGAAGTTACCTGGGCTTGATTATGTATCTTTGTTGTATCCGGCAGTGTATAATAATAATCTCGTCGGCCCGCATAATGCATCGTGCGAACCTCGCGCGGTGAAAACGTAATGTCTTCCATAGCGTGAAATGTCCGCCGACGATAATGAATAGCTTGTATATCACGCAAGAATAATGTATCATCCCGCGAACGCGCCTCGCATTTCGGCCTTGCATGCAAATTGTCCGTGTCCGCGCGAACGAGCGCGTCGCGTCGCGCCGAATTGCGACAGATGATCCGCGCGTTTCTCCGACCTGGAAAGCCCGACGTCGGGCGTGCGTCGACGTCGTCCTCCAAAAGATGAGGAAAGGGAAGAAGAAAAAAAAAATTACACACACGGTGCTTCGGTTTCACAAGCACCGCCCAATTTCGCACGTCGGATCGCTCCAGTGCGAACAATAACACCCGCGGCATCCGCAGGATTTCTTCGCCGGTGCGGTCGCGACAACGACGACGACGACGACGACGACGACGACGACGACGATGATGGATTCCGTTTCGACATCGGGTCGAGCGGCGACGATAGTGCAGAATAGGCGCGTAGTAATCGAGCCTGGCTGTATTCAGCGCATGTAAACGCGTGTGTATTAATGACACGGTGGGAGAGGGAAAGGGGCTCTTGTTTGCGCCACGCTCCGGCCGCGAGATTGAGCATGACAATAAAGCGACAGCGGCGGGGAAATTCGAAGTCGTGAGCCGCGTTATGAATTAAGTCTTCCCCTTGGCCGCGCGACTCTCGCGCGGCTCGCGAGGCAGGTGGGAAAAAAGGCGGTCGCAGCCTCCTTCTGCTTGGCCGCCTTGGCGCGTGAGACTTTCCTAGACTCCACGTGCGACACGCAGATCCGCGGCTGTTGACAGATCAGCTGTTGCCGCGCGCGGTCGCGGCGATCGAGATGCAACACGAACAGAAATGATTCAGACGACGCGCCGGCTGGAGAAGGATACCGTGAAGGGCGTTCCAGATTCCTACGACGTTGCTCGAACGTTCCTTAATGACAATTCCGCGAGTGTTCGCGTCAACGGGGAACCGTGAAATTCCGTCGTTGAAATTGCGATAATTGAGCAACGACAGACTCGTCCAGAAAATGATTCGTCAAATTGTACTTCCGTATACGTCCGGCGACATCTTCCTCGGGAAAACTCGAGGCTGCGAGTTTCCCAAACTACTCTTCGGCGATCCTTTCGGCTCCCAGGGCGCCGGAGTTTTTGGTGAAAGTTGGAAAAGGCGTTTTTTTCGGCTTCTAAATCCGAGCTGCCTGGCGCTGGTTTCAAGAGCTCAATTCGAAAGCGTCGATGTGGCGTTCCTCGAGTTTTTCAGGAATTTAGGAGAAAGTGTAATCGTATAATCGCAAGGAAAAAAAATAGAGTTGCCACGCACTTTTCTCAAAGCCGTGGTCTCAGGAATGACGCACGCGTGAGAAGCGACGAGAACGCGAAAGAAAAAGAGTGAGAGAGAGAGAGAGAGAGAGAGAGAGAGAGAGAGAGAGAGAGAGAGAGAGAGAGAGAGAGCGCGCGCGCGGAGTATCCTTCGCTCGAATCCTCGCCTCACTTTTCCTTTTTTTTCTCACCTTCATTCGCTGCGTAACGCACAGCGCGATACG